CTGTCAGAGTGGACACTGGAGCCAGACAACTGAGAGTGTGGGCCTGATGTTTGAGTGAAGACGAACCTCCAGGTGGACGGGGACTGCGGGCCAGAACCCTAAGCCTATCGGGAGGTGGAGGTGTCCCAGCCACAGAGCACTGACCCCACCCCAACTAAATCTGAACAATAAAGATTTAATTAAAAAAAATTAATCTGAGGCAAAATGCACTCCTCCACCCTGCCTCCCAAATCCCATGTAAGCCAGGGAAGTGCCACTGTAGCTAACTGACAAAGTCAAAGCAGAGAAGCAAATATTGCAAAATTGGAAAATAGTGTAAGTTAAAATAACCAGAGATGCTGGCAAACCAGAGATTTCTAGGCGGGTCTAAATTAGAAATTGGTTTGGGGGGAGGTGGGAGTGATGAGGGCCCTAATGGACTCCAGTGAGAATTCTTTAAATTCATGGGCTAATCACCAGCGATATGAAAGGGGCCTTGGGGATGAATATGTGCTCGCTGAGTGAGGGGGTAGCTCAGCTCCACTCATTAGAAACAGATGGGTGGGTGGGGGTTGGGGCTGGCACGCCAGTGCAGACAGGATGCCTACTTTCCTGCTCATTATAGTCTTTCTCACACATCCCCTGTCTTTCGGGACTCCCTGCTTGCCTTGTGAGCCTGCATTGATCTCCACCAGCCCTGCCCTCCCCTAGGTCAGGGCTCTTACTGGGAAAGGACCCCTGGCCATGCTGCACGCAGCTGTTGCTCCTGGCTTGGTGTCTGGAGGGCAGAGCCATTTCTGACTGGTCTGGAGGTGATCTTCCCACAGGTCACTCATGGAACAATGCTTTCATTTCATTTGGCTCTAAAATCTTAAAATCCTAACCCGATGATTTGCGCTTTCGCCGTACACGTGGTCTGGCACTTGAAGATCAGGTAGAGTTCAGGAATATTTGGAGTCAGAGAAGCCAGAGGCAGAGGAGACCTTGGTAACCAGCGGCCTTGCCTGGCTTTGTTCCTGTGTCCGTCCTGAGTAGCAGTGACCCTGCGGGTGGGACAGAAAGACAGGCAAGAGGACAGCAAATGTCATATTTTTCCTCCCACGACCAAGAGGAAAAACACCACCGAAGGACTTTTCTGAAAATCGGCAAGTCTAAGAAAAGCTATAATACTATCGCAATTGGATCTCATTTCATCTAGTGTCACCTGGAGGAGTGGCGAATCCTCTTCTGCCAAGAGCGTCAGCACCAGATGGGCACACGGGCTGGTGCCACAGCTTTTGTTCCCAGGGATCAGGGCAGCTGCAGGAAATGTGCCTCCTGAGCCTCGGGGAAAGATGAGTGAGAAAGCGCATGTGGGGGCTCTTTATACCCTGTGAGGCTTACTCACATGGTGGGGGGGGGGCGGTGAGGGATGGTC